GTTGAGCTAACAACAGGGATGAGATGTTTTAATACCTCCTTGAATGCAACATTTGTTGTTTTCTTGTGTGAATGGGATGGATTTAGCTATGAAAAAGACTGAACTCCACAGTGCTCTGATATTGATAAAGTGAGTGTCTTCTAAACTCTTTTAAATTTATTCCTCCTCTTCCTGGAGTTAACCAGATAGATTATAGTTTAATTTTGCCAATGGGGAGTTTTAAAGCAAAAGGACTAACAGTTTTTTTCCCCCAAATAAGTGAGAGAACATCAGGAAATAGAATTGCAAATATATTTCCATTTTGTCATAAAGAACCTTAACATTTTTCCCTGTTACTTCGACATCAGTTTAAACTATGACATTTCTCTTGTTTTGACTAGCACTAGAGTAGGAGAGAGTAATGTTCTATATTACAAGGACCTCATTGCCTGAAATAAATCTCTAGGGATACCTTAAAATTCTCCGACCCCTCTCTTCTCGTGGCCCCCGCGGCTCTTCTGTTTGGTTACTGAGCTGCTTCACAGTGGCAGTCATGCTAAACTTTGCAGCTACTGTTCTGAGCTTTCCCTTTCAAACTGGAGATTAGAGAGAAGTAAGTTTCACTTCCTCCCATCCCCCATAATGGAACCCAAGTTGAGCCAGGAAAGCTTTGTATTCGTCATTGATCCATTCATCAATGCAAAGTTATTAAGTGCTTTCCATTCAGCATCTGTGTAAGGTGCTGTGAAAACTGCAAAAGGCACTTTGGACCTCAAGAAACTCCTTTATTTTCCTCTTTTACTTTCCCTTCCTCCGCCTCTTTTACCAACTTCCCAAAGAATTTGAGGCTGTTTACTGAATCAAAGGTAGTGTGCAAGTACTAAAACAAGCATAAGACAGAAATGTGACCATCTTTACTAGTATAAGTTGGTAGGTCCATGGAGTGAGAGAACTAAATTTGGTTGTAGGTTTCCTGATCCCTAAGGCAGAATGGGAATTACTAGCTTATGTAGCCTTCTTTGTCACCAGAGAAAGCATTACAGTTTCTCCATGCTAGTCGACTCTTTGGGATCAAAACTGAAGGTGGAATTTACTGGTTTACAAAGCGAATGTTGACTTCAGTGCAGTTTTCAAACAGGAATAAGTATCGGGAGGAAAGATTGAGGGCATGGATTCATATCTGTCTTGCTTACTGTTATGTCCCAGGGCTCAGCACAGTGCCTGGTGCATAGTAGGTATTGGATACATAGTTGTTCAATTAAAATGGTCTATTCATTGGACAATTTGCACCGACTTTCAATAACAATGAAGACACTATATACTCTGCCTTTGAATGTTGTATTCTCTCTCCGCAGAAGGCCATCCTCTAGCCCTTCTTTACCTCCTTCTCACCCTTCAGGTCTCATGTTAAATCCAACTTCTTTTGTTTTAGTATCTCAAAAGGATCTGTTACTGAATGTCCTTTGCTGCAGTTCCATTTATAAGGAGTTATCACATATTTCATTGTTCATTTGAAAGTCCAATGTTTTTTGCAGTGCAGAGCAGCCACGTTATTCTAAGTACTTACTCAGACAAATTAAATGATTCTGTGTAGCAGTTCTGAAAAGTCTAATTTCCATGTGCAGAATCATGTTTATCATCATCCAAATTCAAAGGCACAAAATAGCACATTTACACTGGTAACTTATTCATAACATTCCCTTTCTACCTTGTTTGTTTTATTGTTAGAAACCAACCCAAATCCCATCTGTAGGATGACACACATAAAAGGATGAAATTTAAATATCAGGGCTGTGATGGGGCGAAGCACTTGAGGCATATCCGGCCTTGAATTGGTGCCCTTTGCCTCCTGGCTGCATTATGTAAAGATAGGGGGATTGCCAGATTTTCCTTTAAGGGTTTAACTAACTGCTTCTTCAAGGCCTTAAGGTCTCTCAAGGAAGTGTACAGAGAAGGCATTTTTAAACACAGTATTGGCCCAGGAGGAAGTGTTTTGGGGCTTTTACTTCATGATTACTGAACTTTCCTGCAAGCTTTTTTCCTCCACAGATTCTCCCTCCAGGAAGAGACGGAACATTCTTTACAATTCTAGCCTCCTTAAAGAATGACCTCCTCGCTCAACAAGCGTCTTTTGGTATTACTGGCAAAAATGAATTATCTTAAAGCTAACTTTTATTTTAAAGCAAAAATTCTCTTTTGGAGGGGAAAGAATCTAATCTCAAGCCCTAGAACATATAAGGTTAATGGCAAACTTGCTTCAAGGAGAGAAACAGAAAAAGCAAAATTGTTAAGTCAGCTGAAGAACTAATCAAGCGTATTGTTCCCTTGATTCTGTAAAATTATAACGAACCTTTTAGAAAGGTTGAAAAGATGTCCGTGGTGTGCTCTCAGTTTACTTTGTCTGTAAGTGCATGTTCCCTCTTCCCCTTGGTTCCAGAGGCACTGGTGTGTGCTGAACGGGTTCTCCTGGATGAGGGCTGAGTGTCTTTCCAGATGACAGATGGTTCCCTCTGCTGGCTGAACTTAAATTCAGTCCTCCGAGCTGAGCCAACCTGGGAGGAATCGCTATCCTTCTCACTGATTATGAAAACAGTTTTGAGATCCATCCTTAAAGAAACCAACCATCTGTGACCAGTTTAAGTGCACACTGGAACTGATGATGAGCTAGCTTACTTCCTCCTTTCCTCCCTCCCTCCCTCCATCCCTCTCTCCCTCCCTTCTATCCTCCCTCCCTTTTTTCTTACTTCCTTTATTTTGAGAAAAATTTAAAGATACAGACAAGCACAAAAGGTAGTATAATAAGCATCTGTATTTCTACTATCTAAAAAGGAGCATCTGTTTATGTCTAGTCAGATTTACTTCTGGTTTGTGTGTTTGTTTCTTTTTAAAGAAATTATTGATGAAACTAAATTCTCTTTTAATTACCATATCCTGTTTTCCTTCCACCCTTCACTCTCTCAGCTGCCTGTACCTCCTGCTGGAAATTCCCTACCATAAATTTAGGATGTAATATTTAACTAGTGTATTGTTTATATTTTTATGTACACACACATATATACCAACAACCAATATATACTATTTTGTTTAAATATTTTATGTTTAAATCTTTCCTTCTTGTTGCTTTTTTAATGTAACAGTATTTATGAAATTTATCTGTATTGATGCCTATAAAATCAGTTGATTTTAACAGCTGCATAATATTCCATCCTATAAATGTAGCACATTTTATTTGCCTATTCCCTTTCCAATGCAACTTTTAGGTCATTTCCAAGTTTTGCTATACAAAAACAAAAAAACACTGCAATAATCTTTTTAGTATATGTCTCCTTGTGTCCATATTGCTTGAGCCTAGTATACCCTGCAATGAGAATCAGTAAGCTGTAGGATATATGTAGTATTACTTTTGATAAATATAACAAAATTGCTCACCAGGATGATACCAATTCATGATTCGGCCAGAAGTAAGCTAGAATATTATGCTATTTTTTTATACCTCTTGGACAACACTGAATTTTGTCTGTCTTCTCCATGTTTACTATTCTAGTAAAAGAAAAATGGAATTCCATTATTTTAATATGTGTTTTCCTCTAGTGAGTCTGAGCTTCTTTTTTTTACCCTCTTTGTCCATTGAGATTTCTTCTTTGAACCACCATTTTTTTCTATATGTTTGTTCATCTTTGTTCTTGATTTTTGGAGTTCCTTATACATTCTGGTTACTTATTCTCTGTTACATACGTTGCCACTATCTTTGTCTGGTCAGGCATTTGAGAAGATTACTGCTTCTGATGATAAGTAAGTTAAATTGTTATGGTTTCTAATTTAATTCTACGTATTATCAAGGAATTAGGCATTATCTTTCTCCCCTCAGTCCATTGCCGATCCTTTCGGATCCTCTTTCAAAATATGCAGCAGATGACTGCCCACTTCTCCCTGTCCCCTGTGCTATCTGATGTTTTATCCTCATTTAAAAAAATTACTCTCTCGGGGCTTCCCTGGTAGAGCAGTGGTTAAGGATCTGCCTACTAATGCTGGGGACATGGGTTCGAGCCCTGGTCTGGGAAGATCCCACGTGCTGGGGAACAACTAAGCCCATGCGCCACAGCTACTGAGCCTGCGCTCTAGAGCCCGCAAGCCACAACTACGGAGCCCATGCGCCATATCTGCTGAAGCCCGGGTGCCCTAGAGCCCGTGCTCCACAATAAGAGAAGCCACCATAATGAGAAGCCTGTGCATTGCAACGAAGCGTAGCCCCTGCTCTCCACAGCTAGAGAAAACCAGCGTGCAACAATGAAGACCCAACACAGCGAAAAATAAATAAATAAAATAAATAAATTAAAAAAAATTACTCTCTCGATAGATATACCCTTCATATATTATTATGCCCATTTGACAGAAGTGAAAAGTGAGGCTCAGTGAAGTTCAGCAGCTGTATAAGACACAGAGATGGTAAATGTATTACTAGAATTCAAACTCAGGTCAGTAGGACCAAAAACCCTTATTTCTTCCACTGTCAGTTTCCCTCAGATTCTCATGGACACCAAGGTTTCAAAGGAAAGGAAGTAGATTGACTCATAAAATACCTTTCAGACAGATGCTTCGGTATAGGCCGCCACAAAACCAGAGAAGTACTCTTCCTACCGACTTCTGGGTTGGCCTCATCTTTATGCAAAATGGAAAACCCCTGTTCCAGGACTGGCTGGCTCTGAGGAAGGGCAAATAATAATGCAGCCAGAACAGCCCAGGACTAGAAATGGGAAGATGGAATGTCAAAGCACCATTCTGCTCCTTACTTTATGTGATCTTGTAGGAGTCACTTAAGCCACTCTTGAATCGTGATCTCTCTTGTGCAGAGTAATGACAATACTTAGAATTTGCACATGTGCCTTTATTCTACCCTTTTAACAGTACCAATGCTGTCATACTAGCTCAGTTTTCACGGTGAATGTCCCTAATGAAGTTGTACTATAAGCCATCTAGATCACTGCGGAAATGATCATCTGAATTTCTTGTTTATGGTGTAGGTATCCCAGGACTGCCTGCTTGCCAAGACCCTCTGTAAAACTCCATGCACCCTGCTGTTGAGCGCTCTGAGGAGGTAACAGTATTCAGAAAGGTAGAGTTTACTTAATTTAAAAATTTTTCGTAGAGTTAGGTATAACTGACCTACTACGGGTATCCTTATAATAATAGGAAGATTTCTATGTACATATAAAATAGAACTCTTAAAATGGTATAATTTGGGGGCTCAATTTTCTTGGAGAATTTACCCTCTCCTGACTTCTATTTGTAGCTGCCATTTAAAACTTGGGGTATAAATATTATGTCAGTTAAATAAAGGAGTGATAACTTCACTTTCTGGAGAAAGCATTACCTTCCCTTTCATGAAATGTAGCTTTACCGTTACCTGATTGACATGCTATTATATTATTCTCCCTTCCACCAGACAGTTACACATATTTAATAATTTTTATGTATAAAAAGTAAGGTTAAGCGGTTGCAAAGACAAGTTGTTACGCTTTGCATGGTTTTGAGAATGATCGTGGAGATGAAATGACGTTAGTAGTAGCAGGAGGACACACTGATATGAAACATACCTCCTGAAATAGAAAGGGATTGTTCTTGGTCAGAGGAAATCCTAGTGGAATTCGCTGGGACAGTGAAGAATAAATCTTATAACAAGGCCTGAGGATAGGGCAAAATAATTACTCTTCTTTGTATGTCTTTGGATGGTTTAACTGGATAAGTTTAATATACATTAAAAAAAAATAGCAATAAAAGAAGGGAATGTGCTAATGTGGCAAAACTTCCCCAGTTTTGATGATGTCAGTGGACAGTGTTCATTTAATCCCTCCCTAGAACTCATTTGTGTATACCCCTCTTCTTTTCTCTCACCCGTTCTCATCTTTACTTCCCTCATAGTATCTCCCATTCCGAGGTCTCAACAGACAATTTAGCATGTGTAATAAATATAAATATTGAATAGCACCATGTGTCAGAACACAAAGATTTTGTATGCTTTCAGTCAAGACCCAGTCTCCTGTTTCCACTTTACATTGTCTGCTTACTTACTCTTGGCCCTGTTTTCTATTCTCTCTCGTTCCATAGTTGCTTGAAACTCATGGATTTATGCAAAAGACTGCCCCTCACATTTGTAGGACTGTGACACATTGCTATATTTTCTAGAAATACTCACCAAATGCAGATTATGGAGGGATGAGTCAGGCATCTTCACTTCTTAATGTGCCTGATTTCTTTCTGGTGAATCACCTTCCCGTCTAGAGTGTTTTTCTGGAAGATGCAGAAGGTTTAAGGATAGTAAATGAAATGAGCTGAAATGGAACCCTGGTGTTACGTGTTTCTTTACTATGAGCTTTGCATGGAATTGTTCGATCCTTACGTTATGCTTCTGTTTAGTGTTTTTGAGCCCTGAAGCAAGACTCTTTTTAACATGAAAGGTGTCAATATGAAATATATATACCTGAAAGAGGGGCATTTTAATATTAATAATTAGCGGAAGGAGGAATTATAGGCTATAACTTTGAGTTTTAAGATATCCACTTATTTCTCTTTGCTTAGAAACACTTCTCTTTTCTCTCCTCATAGTAAAAGGCATGTGCTTGTTGATTCCAAAGTCCCACACTTTGCTGTTTCTTTTCTTTAAAAAGACTGACTCAGATTTCTGCTATTTGCTGTGTGATCTCAGTTAACTCACTTAACCTCTCTGAGCTGTGGTGTCTTCCTCCGTAATATGAGGCTAATTATAGGAACTACCTCATAGAATGGTTGTAAAGGATTAAATGACAATTTTTATAAAATGATTAGCAAGATACCTGGTGTACAGAAACTCTCAAAAAATGATAAGAACTATTATCAGCAGGAAATGTGCACTTATGAATTCTGTATTGGTGTTTAGGGTATCATTTTCAATATTCTGTTTCTCTTAGGATATTACCTATTGCAGTTTTCAATGAGGCAAGATATAGAGATATCTGAGACCAAAAAACTAAGGTAAAATAAATAACGTGGCAAAGTACCATGTAGATAATCTTTGGTAGTCATGATCCTGTACAAGCCTCATTGCTTTGAGATTACATGCTGCCAGTGTAAGAGTCAGATCTGATTGATGTTTTATATTTTATCATTTGACTTTATGCTGTACTTTCATTCCAAGTCTTCTCATGTATTTGGCAGGATGATCAAGGAAGCTCTGAGTGTGACTTACGTTTCTAGTTAAAACCAAAACCCAATATCACTAGGTGAAGTAATGAATGGAGGTTAAGTATTTTGAGGAGAGAAACTGCTAAATGCAAAGGAATATTTCCTATATGTTTTTACTTGTTTCCATTTCTAGGATGGCTAAGTGAACTCTACTGAACCTGGCATTTTCACAGATAGCAACTATAAAGTATGGGGGAAATATTACCTGAAAGCCCTAGAGAGTGAAAATAAGCAGGTAGATTCTGAAAGGGAATTGAGATTCAACACTTGGAAGCAGGGCCCAGTGCAGAGTGAGTTCCCCATTTTACAGCTTTTCCACTGAGGACATGTTGAGGTTAATTAATGTCACCTGGGGTGACTAATTCCAGTAGATAAACCACATTCTTTTTGGTTTGATGATCCAAAGAACAGGGTTCAGGGCAACCACAGCCACTGGAAAATGAAGCTAGAATTCTGGAAAGGAGAGAGGAAGACAGGGGAGGCTCCCAATTCAATGTATATATAGTACCCAAAGTTTTGACTGACCCCTGAACCACGAACACGTGGAGCAGATATAAAGTAGCACAGCTAAAGATGAAAGAACTGAATTGAGATTCGAGCTGCCACCCAAGAGATAGTTTTCAATTTGTGTATAACCGAAGTAATTGCCTGCTAAAACAAATAAATCAGTGCTCTTCAAAGAAGTCTAACAGATTTTAGAGTCTTTACTCCATAATATTCACATTCATACATTCCCATGATACAACCCTGAGTTAAATAACATATGAAGAACCAAGAAAATGCGACCCCTTCTCAAGAGAAAAGGCATTAGTCTGAGACTAATTCCAAGATGACCCAAAGGTGGAAAGTAGCCAAGATTTTAAAGCAGCTATTAAAACCATACTCAATGAAGACAGAAAGATACACTCATAATGAGTAAAAACGTAGTAAATAGAAACTACAGAAAAGAACCAAATGGCAATTCCAGAACTGAAAAATACAATATTTGAAATAAAAATTCACTGAGTGAGCTCACATCCATTGGAAGTAACAGAAGAAGGTGTCAGTGAACCTAAAGATAGAGCAGTCGAAATTTTCTTTCTGAAGAACAGAAAGAAAAAAGATTTAAAAAACTGAACAGAAAAAAATGAAAAGAGCCTCAGGGGCCTGTGTGACATAAGTAAAAATGTCTAATATACAAGTAATTGGAGTCTCAGAAGGAAAGAAGAAAGAGAATGGGACAGAAATATTTGAAGAAATAATGGCCAAATATTTAAAAATTTGATGAAACACATACATTTGCAGATCAAGAAAGTCAGTGAACCTCAAACAGGATAAATTTGAAGAAAACTATGCCTGTGCACATCGTATTTAGACCGCTGGACACCAACAATAAGGAGAAAATTTTGATAATAGCCAGAGAAAAATGGCAGGTTACCTTCCAGGAAACAGTGCTTTAAATTAGCACTACCTTCTCGTCAGAAACTACAGAGTCTAGAAAAACTAAAATGATATTTTTGAAGAGAGGAAAAAAACCCCTGTTAACCCAGAAATCTATATATAGTGAAAATATCCTTTGAGAATGAAGGCTAATTAAAGACATTTTCAGATAAAAGTAAACTAAGAGACTTCATTGCCAGCAGACCTACATCACAAGAAATGCTAAAGGAAGTTATTCAGGCTGAAGTGAGATAACACCAGATGGAATCTTAAATCTTCAGGAAGGAATGAAGAATGTCAGAGATTGTAAATATAAAAGAGTATTTTTTTCATCTCAGTGTCTTTAAAATACACAGAACTTTTTAAAGCCAAATCATAACACTGCCTTGTGGTGCTTATAATGTGCTGTGTGTAGATGTCATACATAAGACAATTATAGCATAAATAATGAGGGGGGTGCATAGTAAATGGACTTATACAGTTGCATGGTTTTCGATTTTATATGAGGTGGTATGAAGTGAACTCTCAGTAGACTGTGAAAGGTCAAGAATGTATATTTTACTGCTTAGAGCTATCACTAAAAATCCAGTAGATAAATTAAAGTAGAATCCTAAACACCTTTAAAATGATCCCAAAAGAATGCAGGAAAGAACAAACAGAGAACAAGAAACAGAGGGGGCAAACAGAAAGCAAACAATGAAATTGTAGCTCTAAATGCAAACATATCATGCTAATCATATTTAATTATATTAAATGTTAATGGACTAAATACTTTAATTAAAAATCAGAGTTTATCAGGATGGATTAAAAAAACAACTATTTTCTGTTAAAAGATAAACTTTAAATATAAAGATACAGTTAAGTTTAAAGTAAATTGGTGGAAAAAGATACACCATGGAAATAGCATAAGAAGTCTAGAGTGCCTATATTAATATCAGAGAAATTAAACTTTAAGACAAAAGGTATTACCAGAGTTAGTGTTTGATAATAATAAATCGGTTATTACATTAAGATAAGAATTATAAATTAGTGTATATACCTGACAAAATTCCAATGAGATTACTTTAAGTATCTTTGAGTCTAGAATTTTTTGAGGACTCTCAATTTTGCGTCAAGAGACACAGGTGACTCATCACTTTAGGCTAACAACCATTTTGTAAAATTGTGGAATCAAAGCTCAACACAAGTGAAAAAAAGCATAGTTGGAGAGTGTGGATATCTGTATGTCAAATATATGTGAGGGTCCCTAGCCTGGAATCACGTGACACAAATCCTAGTTATTACTAGCTTCTGTATTAGCTAGCTGAGAAATAGTACCTCATTTGTGATGGTTTATAACCAATTTAAAATAAGATTAATAAAATATACATAGAAAATCAGAAAAGAAGTCCACCAGTCACTGTTGCTAACAGGGTTGCGAATATATACTAAGCACATAAATTCACTCGGGTTTTCTGGCAGGCAGAGCAAAGAGGG